GATGAATTCGATCGGGGTGGGTGCAAGGTAGGGTTCGAACGTGCGGCAGGCTGTAACTCGGTGCTCTCAAGCGCAGATGAATTCGACAGGGGAACCCGCACAGTAGGGTTCGAACGTGTGGCCTCAGTCTGAGCGGGTTTTCGTCTTCGACGCTTCTCGGCGCTTCCAATTCTCGCATGTAATGGCAATGGACGCCTCTTATGCGCGGCCACTGTACGTCGCAGACCCATGTTTCCTTGTGCTTCTTTTTGGGGGCTGGATGATGGCGAAGCTATGACTTGGAATGAAGGTCCCACAGAATCTGGCCGAAATCGCAAACGAGAAGAACTCCGCCGTGTCTTAGCTGCACCGGAAGAAGCTGGTGTGTGTGATTGAAGGGAAGAAAGTGCTGTAGTGTGAAGAGATTGGTGCGTTGATGAAGGAGGCGACGATGTGTCTGGAGAAGGAGGTCGGTGAGATGCGACAACGGCTGATTTCGCGCGAGGTGGTAACGAAGATCGCAGATTTGATGGAGGAGGACAAGTGGTGCGTTCGGAAGTTGAAATGTTTTCCTGGGGTGTGAGGAGTGCCTTCCAAGTTGAAGAGATGTTTTCGGAACCACTATGCGTAAAACGCCGTACATACCGCCTGAAAGAATTGTCCATCACGTTGGGAAGCGCGGCAAACTCGAACTGCGACTGTTTGTGCAGATCACTTAACTGTTTGGCGGGAAAACAGTTTCAGAAGTATGTATGAGTTGATTGCAAAGACAGTTTACATCGTTAAATTTAAAAATATGTCTGTAAAATTGGCAGAAAGTGTTGTACACCGTCGCCCTCACCTTCCAACGCAAACGTCTCCTCGATTTGTGAGGCCCGCCCCCGTCCGGACCACGAACATCACAATAGCCGATTGGTGCCGCTGAAATGTCCGCCACCGCTGCGTCCCGCGCACGGCGTCCAGCTCTCTGTCACAGTGAAGCATCCAGCGCGGGCTATCGTGCATTCTACATGCCGGGCTTCCTTGCCCCTACTCTCCGTCCACGCTGTTTCGAAATGCTCCTTGTTCCTCGTGACATCTCCCAGGACGCAAATGAGGCGAGGCCGTCGCGCAGCACGAGCATGGACTTCGCACCAAAGTTCAAAACCGCAGAGGCAATTTCAGGCTATCCTGCCATCTCGTCCTCCACAACTGCTCGGTCGAATAGGTCCAGCTGCTCACAAACCAGAGCCTCAGCACGACCAAGGTTGCCAATCAGGCAATAGCACTCAACAGCATCATTCGACCTTCTCGAAAAATCTCCATGGCTGATTTCACAAGCCCTATCCTTCCACCTGAAATGGCGAGCTCCTTCTTCAACTCCCATCGCGTTGGCAGAGCAAATGCGAACAGGAGCATGTTACGCTCTGCCACAGCCGCATGCCTACCATCTTCATCCATTGACGCAATCGGGTCATCCACAAACCATGCTATCTCCTCCAGTTGCGACATGCATCGCTCCAAGTACCTCCCACGCTTACGCTGAAACTTCACGCGCAGCATGAGAGCCTGCACTTGCACAATACTACTCGTTCCGAGCGGGACTGTCCTGTTCTGAAAAACAAGGTTCAAGTATGGTGCCATCTCCTCTTTCGTCAATATGTGGGACGCATTGCGGCCCCGAACAACGGCGGCTTTCCCCAGCCCCAAAAGCCTGCCGGATCGGCGAGAGATGCTCCTTCTCCTCCGCCAACGTCACTTGCTCTTCTTCGATGGTATAGGATTCCGTCAATAAGTTCGTAACAATCGCCGGGCCGGTGTGGTAAGCTCAGATAGTCAGCAAACGTGCTCGGCGTAAGGTGTAAATGGCCGAATGGGGTGGAGGAAGCGTGCAAAGGCGACGGCAATAGTGACGGGGATGAAGGCGGAGAGATAGGTGGAGACAGAGATGATGGCGAAGCCGGCAAAGAAGAATGGGACGGGTGCGCAGAGACAGAGCCAGGGTTGGAGTGGAGAGGGCCACGATTGAGTCGGGAAGTGCCTGAAGATGTGAGGGGCGGGGTGTTGATGTCCATGTCGCGAAGGGGGGTGGCACCGGGCTCAGAACGTTTGTACAAGCGGCACTGTTTGAGCTAAACAGATCGGCTAACAGGAGACATTATGCACGCCCCTGGCAGTTGTTTGCCTGGAGACTTTTCAGATTCAAATACAGTTAATTTGCCTGGAAAGGTTTCACATTGATTCGCTCCTCGTCTGCCCAACTGTGTGTGTACTCGGGGCATGTTTAATGGTAGGTTCGGAGGGGTAAGGGAAAGAAGGAGGGCAGGTTGATGTGTGTGAGTGAAGGAGTTGGTACCGAGGTTTACTTGGAGCCGTCGTTCGGCGATACTTATACACTTTGAGTGTTACACTATCCCATTGCTTTGGCACCTGGTAAACCGTACTCACCATATGCGCGACCAAGCGCGGTCCTCTTCTGGCCCGTCCACACTGTTCTATTTCCACCTTACGAATTGACTATTGACTATCAGTGCACAACAGTTTCTACACATTTCCAGTGACTGTAAACCATGGCCCTATGCATGCAATCGTTTCACACCTTACTAATCTGCATCCAGACATGACAGAATATATTCTTGCCCAATGAACAACTTGGCATCTCTCTATTTCCAACAACGCAAAGTCCTGTCATATCTCAGTCCCCATACATGCCCTTGTTTCGTACCTTACTAATTTCGGTACACACTGCCAGACAACTATGACGGGTAGCAACAATGTGCATCCAGACTTTCTACACATCTCACGTGATATCCGATGTGAATCACACGAGTACTGTCATCAACTTGCATCCAACGGCGCACCATAACGAGAGCACAGTACAACGTCGCATGCTGACGAGAGTGTAGTACAACGGCGCATGCTGATGCAAGGGTCGCATACAGCGTGACGCATACACTAAATACTCACGTAAGTACATGTCTCTTGTGAGAAATACTTGTACTTTTAATTCACATGTACTGTACTCGGACACGCGCCGGACCGTATGTAGGCGACGAGTACAAGTGTACGTACACGCAGCAACCTGGCGATGTGTACATGTGTACACCGCACACAAGTGTGCAGCCCCAAGGCCACCCGTAATTACCCATTACAACCATGGTGAACAACTTCAAACCCCCGAAATGATGTAATTAAAACGTATACCGATCATTCAAGATATATCACCAGCATGACTGCATATAAATGGACAATAACAGACCACTACAATTGCAGCATTCGAACCGAAACCGAATAGATTTGCAGTATTGCCTGTGTAGCCCTATAACGGTTCGGGTCAAATGCAAATTTTCGGCATTTATGCAAATTTGCATAACCCTCCAAAAGTCCACTTTCGTCCCCAGAACCCCAAAATCTGAGAATTTACACGTGTCATGTGGTGATATGGGGTGAGGTTCCGGACCGTCGAGTCATGTACACGTGTCACTCGATTTTGCACTTTCCAGATAACAGCATGTGGCCGCCCATTTTCAATAATGTTAAGACAGGGTATGTCAAGAGTCTTGTCAAGACTCTTGACACACTGTGTCTTAACACGTTTCTAAAAGGTTTACTAGGAAGGTACTCTTGCTGGGCCTTGCACGTGTTCGGGTGTGTGTGAACGTCCGTACACGTTGCAAACTTACAGTGTATCCAGGCGCAGTAGGGGGGGTTTCTCTGGGCAGAACGGAACGGTGTAGGTTACAGGGGGAGTCGCTCAATAGTGCCTACGTTAGTAGTGCTTCTCTATATAGTGCTATGGCTCGCCCTCTGGCACAGGTTATCTTAAGCTCACACGTGTATCATCCGGCATGGTTCAGTACGCAGTACAGCAGTCCATGCTGTCTTAAAGGAGACCCTGACCAAAGGATGTTGTGCTATGCAGGCTTTGTTGTGTTTGTGTTAGCAGTGTGCTTTGTCCCCAAATATATGTATTTGAGCCTCCTTTATATAGTGCCATGCCCCCAATAGTGCCATAGCTAGAGGTATGTCACGCTATAGCACTATATCGTAGGAGGCACTGTATACGATTCCGTATCATAATCGGCCAATCATCATTCACCAGCTCGTCGCCACGTGTGAAACATTGCCTTTTGGTCACCACGTGTATTACATTGCATTTTGGTCGCCACGTGTAAAACATTGCATATCGATCCACACGTGTAATACATTGCATTTGGGTCCACACGTGTGATGTGTTTGTCGCGCGACAAGATCTACAAAAGCTGTATGGGTGGCCGCCCATACTACAATCAACCTCTAAAAAATTAACAAAAATTAATCTAGTTCCATTATGGCTGGCCAGCCCTACAGATTTACAAATGCAGTATGGCTGGCCAGCCATACAGCTTTTGTAAATCTTGTCGCGCGACAGCCATTACATATTACATGGGGGGTCGCTCAATAGTGCCTACTTTAGTAGTGCTTCCCTCTATATAGTGCTATGGCTCACCCTCTGGCACAGGTTATCATACGCACACGTGTATCATCCGGCATGGTTCAGTACTCAAAGGATGAAGCTATTTAGTTGTGTTATACAGGCTTTGTTGTGTTTGTGTAAGCAGTGTGCTTTGTCCCCAAATATATGTATTTGAGCCTCCTTTCTATAGTGCCATCCCCCCAGTAGTGCCATGGCTAGAGGTATGTCACGCTATAGCACTATATCGTAGGAGGCACTGTATCTTCTTTTCCTGAGCCTGCCTTCTGAACGCTCCTTTGCTCCACGCCCAACCTCAACCGCCGTGCGCCTCTCAACGAACACAGTCTTCGGCCGCGTTCGGGTAAGATAAAGGAGAAGGAAGGCAGAATCTCGAACCAAACACTGACATTCGTCACCAGCAACTCCGCACCCGTCCTGTCCAAGTCTACACTTCGAAAATCCTATCCGCGTTCCGTAGCGGCATCGCAACATGGATTCGTCCGCGGCTACGGAGGCTATTGAAGCAGAGCTCGCGTTTTAGCGAGCAGAATTCGTCGCCGAAGATGAGTTGATAGAGATAAATCCGATGGTCAAATCTGATGTTATCACGTTAATGCGCGGCGAGTTTGGGCCGTTTGAGCCATCAATCACGACCACGGTGTGTTTCATCCTAAACCTATCTACTGCTACTGGGATTTCGGTTATTCCGATGCAAAAGGGGCAAAGAACTAACCCTTTATCTGGACATTTGTTCTGTTAACAGGTGCCTTTGTGGCTAGCGCTTGCATTGAGGAAAGTTCACAGGTGCAAAATTCTGCCGCCGCGATGGCTCACAGTGCGAGAACTGGACAGGTACATCTCGCATGAACGTGAAAACGAAGCCGAACTACAAGCAATTCCGTTCTATTTCTCAAAGGTAAGTTAGATATGCTTTATTCTGTCTTTTCATCTACAATTCCCATTTGTCCATCGGTCAGCAAGCTCACCAAACCCTAACATATGTACCACCACAAACTTGCGCTTCGATTCGTCGACCTCTTTACAGATTGCCTCACTGCTGTTACATCACGCATCTGACGACCTCGTCAACCCCGGTATGTTGCGGCGTTGCGTCGAAGATCTATCCAACATTCGAGATAGCAAAATGCGCAAATAGATGCAGGAGAACGTTCGTGACCGAGTGAACGCCATCAAGGTGAATAATTATTCACCTTGATGGCGTTCGCTATCCTAGGATATCCCAGCGTCGGAGGAGCTCCATGTCATAACATGTAAGAGCTCAACCACAAAAAAAATTACCAAATGGCCTTGCACTGAATCATTTAACGCGTTTGTGCTGAAAAGTTCGACAACTTTTTGAAGTCTCTGAGACTTTCACAATTCATAGATGTGTCTACGACGACATACGTGACTAGGTGCTCATGTGTGCTTGACCCTTTGTACAAAATACGTGCGTCAAGTACTCATCTGTAACCAAATAGCTGACTTCGGACACGGCCTGAAAGCCTCTAATAATGAAGTAGGGGAGCTCTACTTCGAGAGACCTGCAACCGTGTTCAGAAACGGATGTAGCTGTACTCCAGAATCGACTGTTCGGGGGAACCATCGGACGCCACCGCAAAGAGAAAGTTTTCAACTGCGAGAAAACAGTCTTTACAGCCTCGTCCTCCGACACCTCGCTCGGTGTGGCTGAAAGCCTTGCCGCGAAAACTTTGCTTACGAGATCAACTGCTTGAAGTGATGAACGTGAGAGAGGGTGAGTGTACGACATACTTCGAAAATCGAAATCTCGGCTCTTTCGGACAAGAGCATCGACCGTCGCCTTGCGACGAACGTATGGCATACATGTTCCCACCAGCAGTGCCGCCGCCGATTTCTCATTGGTCTCATCTGCGACAGACAACCCCAGAATGCGAATTGCTTCATGCACGGTTCCTTCTTTTCCTCCTCCTTTCCTCCGTCGCACATTATTTCTCATGTCCGCAACAGAGTTTATGCCAATAATTGTGCACAAATCTTTGCATGATGGGAAAATTATCTCTGCGAGCTCGGTGCACGCTGCGGGAGACTGGCTTTCCTGGAACGAGGGCTTGAACTGGGCAGAATCGGACAAAGAATGAACAGCGCGGGCCAAGTTCTCACACTCTTCGAAGGTGCAGTCTACCACTGAACGAATGCTTCCGGTAGAGCTCTATTCGTAGTACGTGTCCTGCTCCGTATCCCCTTGTCGCAGTTTGAAGTTTGGTACCGGCTTCTGGATGAGTACCAATGTTTTCTGTCTCAAAGTATTTAGGAGACGTGCACATTACCGTTCTGCCGTTGATCCAGACCCGATCCGAGAAAAGAATTGAAACTGGCCAACAACCATGTACTCGATTTCTTCAACTCGAGATAAAAGCGTAGCCACTTTCCCCTCCACGCTATACATTCGCAAATTGAGTACCGCCTCCCCATCACCAACACCATTTTCGCTCTGGCGAATAAAATTTTCTCCATCTGTTTCATAGCTCACCTGTCCTGAGCACTCATAATAACGCCATCGCAACTGAGTGGCGTCATCCTCCACCAAGCGAATATAATCAGGAAGAATCCACACCATCGCTTGTTGTTCATTGAACCCCTCCCTTGCCACGTATTTCAGTTTTCCTTTCACTCTTCCCTCCACCACTTCATTAGTTACCAACTCTGCCCGCCACCAGTCAGATGCAAGCGTTCTCTCACCTCGCCTTCGTCCTTCCCCTTTGGTTAATTCGATGTCCCTGAGGACCTCAATTAGTATCCCAGGTACCAGAGACTGCGTTTCGATACAGTAGTCTGAGCCTTGGGAAAGGCTTCCTGTCAATAGTGACATCACTCTCAGCAAAGGCAGCAGTGGAATTGTCATCTCGAGAAACGAATGCACTTGGCTTCAAGCCAGTGTTGCGTGACCGAAACCCATCTGGCGGTGCAGGTCGGCGCCCATTCACGTCCTTGCCGCAGCCACGCGCTGCAGTATGCCCATGTCTATTGCAATTCGTACATTTCATATTGCGTCGAATAGGCATACGATTGACAAGTGCAGGTGCATGTGGTGATGAAGCAGAAGCGGTCTTCATGCTTTCTCGTTGTTCTTCTTGCAGCAGACGACTCTTCACAAACTCGAGTCCAAACACTTTATCTTCATTGCCAAGTGCGTCAAGAACAACAACCAGGTTATCGAATCGTGGAGGCAAGCCATTCAACACAGCCATTGCAATTTCTTTATCGTCAATCTCAACACTCATTGACTGCAATCTGGCAGCAAGTTGCTTCACACGATTGATGAACACGAGCACTTTCTCGGATGGGAGCATGGATACAGTGTAACAGTCGCGACGGGCGGCAAGTTTGTTGAGCAAAGTATGACGCTCAAACACTTTCAGAATTGCTTCCCATGTCTCTTTCGCACTGCTACACCCTCGCACATGTTGCAAGTAGTCATCAGAAAGCGTGAGTCCGATGACTGCCTTTGCTTTTGCGTCACCAGGGATCCATTTTCTCCGGTCATCTGACGTCGCATTCTCCGGTACATCATCAAAAACGTATTGATCGACATCTCAGAGAGCAAGCAGTAGCTGGATTTTCTGCTTCCAGATGTAAAAGTTAGATTTGGTCAGCTTCTCGATTCTGACCGATCCAGAGCTTTGGTCATCCATTTCGCCGAATGGATGTACCCTTCGAGTATACAAGGTCTTCTGTTCCGGGATCCCAAGCCGTTAACCGATAGTCAACACAATGGCAAGCCCCCCCGTATAAGAAGTTTGTAGTGATTACTCGGAAACGTTCTTGGTGCTTGTTCCCGGCGGAGTGGAACAAGCGTATTCTTCTTAAAAATGCCTTAGGGCGCTACCCCTGTATGTCGGCCAGTGCGGGTCTTTCGACTGTGAACTAAATCAAACGTGCCACGAGTAAGCACAACACTTTGCCTGTAGACGAACCAGGACTTTTGGTCACTACCGCGAACGGTCGCTGCAACCGAAATCGGCTTGTCCAAACTTGATACGGTACTACCCCAATGAGGTTTCCCACAACACAAGAATGAAACTGCCTTCGTCGTACTCGTGTGATTTGTTCACAATCACGCCTAGGGTCACCCTCTTCCGTGCGAACTTAATCAAGGTACGCAACCTTATACACGTATAGTGAGAGGTTCAGTGTTTACGGACGTATTCTCTTCACCCAGGGGACCGAAGTTGTACCTATAGGGCTAATACCGAGAGCGTTACCCACACCGCCGACGCACCTTCCGAAGGCAGAGTGCGGATAGACTAGACCAGTACACTGTGATCCTCCCCGAGGATCAGTGTTTCGTCTCTCGACGATTCTTGGTCAGACCCTCGCTCAAGTCAGATTTCCAATGGCACAAGCCTTTCACCAAGAGCGAGGGTATCGGCAGCTACGACGATCACAGGCGTGATTGAAGGGCAGTCTTCTTGGATTGATATGGTACGTTGGCGACTAGGGACTACACCCACAGCTCACACAACGATTGCCAAGACCAAGCTGCGACAGATACCAAGAAGATCCACCAAGTTGAAACGACAGCTTGTAGACAGAGACGAACGACCAAGATGATAACGACAGCAAGTAGACGGCGACAGAACAAGACGAACAACAACGACGGCGGAAACGACAGCAGAAACCAAAACGAGAACGACAGCGGAGACCAAAACAAGAACGACAGCGGAGATCAAAACGAGAACGACAGCAGAGACTGAGAACAAACACTCACACAGCAGAATAATAACCTTGAACTGGGCCCATAACCTATTGGTAGGTCAGCGGGGCGAAGGGGATTCGAAGGTCGGTTGATGAGGTGAAGTTGAAGGATTGGGTACCGATTTACTTTCAGTCGCCAACTTCTGGCACTACTTATACACTTCTGCAATCTTCTAGAACTCTACTACCAAACACTACGACACACATACTACAAATGTATTGGCTCTAACACATGTGCCCGTCTTTCTACTCAGCCAAACTGGCGATGGCCCAACAAACATAACAGAAAACCGCCTTACGAATTACCACTGTCATGACGGAGAAATTAGTAAGGCAGTACAACAAAGCACAGCAAAGCAAAAATTCCCTTACTATTCCAAATCCAGCGTGGCACAAATTCGTAAGGCACGTTTACAGCTCACACGTTGCCTTACGAATTCAAATCAATCCTGCAAGGACTGTTTACAACGCACACGTTGCCTTATGAATCTGAATCTCTCGTGAGGTTCTGTCCACTGTCAATTACAACAGTGCAAATTTTGCCTTTCCAATTCAAAACTGGCGCAACGGTATCTTTGTGTCCTGCTGTACCCGTGCTGCACTCCATGGACGCTGTAAACCTTTGGCACGTGCCAGGCACCCGCTACCAAGGTTCTACACTTTGTCTGTAAAACTGCAAGCGTACTGTACGCGTCCGACAGTGTAATGAGGACATGTGTCCAGGTCATACACGTGTCGGGCGGAGAAAATGAAATATGCTCATATTGTACTGTACCCCTCAACCGCGTACATATTTCACACGTGTAAACGTTGAAAACCAAACTTGCTCCTGAAGTACTGTAGAGTGCAACCGTCTACAGAAATCACACGTGTACACGTTGAAAAGTTAACTTGCTCAGCTCGTCACGCGGAGTGTTTTCAATTTTACACGTGTCATACCGGTCGTTGTGTGTCATGAATATCGGCATGTGGTCGTAGAATTACAACCGAACCTCTCACTGTACGTGTATAAGGTTGCGTACCTTGATTAAGTTCGCACGGAAGAGGGTGACCCTAGGCGTGATTGTGAACAAATCACACGAGTACGACGAAGGCAGTTTCATTCTTGTGTTGTGGGAAACCTCATTGGGGTAGTACCGTATCAAGTTTGGACAAGCCGATTTCGGTTGCAGCGACCGTTCGCGGTAGTGACCAAAAGTCCTGGTTCGTCTACAGGCAAAGTGTTGTGCTTACTCGTGGCACGTTTGATTTAGTTCACAGTCGAAAGACCCGCACTGGCCGACATACAGGGGTAGCGCCCTAAGGCATTTTTAAGAAGAATACGCTTGTTCCACTCCGCCGGGAACAAGCACCAAGAACGTTTCCGAGTAATCACTACAAACTTCTTATACGGGGGGGCTTGCCATTGTGTTGACTATC